TTTTTTTTTTTTTTTTTTTTTTAATAAGAAAGCAGGACTCTTGGAGTCTTCAAGTTTGATAGAGATCAGTTTTGCATTTAAGCCTCTCTTTGAACCTACACACAGTTTTGCTCTTTTAAAATAAGATAATAGCAAATATTGACTTGTAATTGTCAAGAATCACCTCCAGGAATAGAATTACAAAATTATACAGTTTGAAAGATCTGGACTTTCTTACTCCCAAAATGTCTTTCTACTCACAAGATACTGTATTGGAAAACCTGACTAGGGTGTCATTTCTAGGCACTAATTGATTAGTGTGTATTACTTTTCTTGTCACTTTCTGCTTTGTTGGGCTTTGAGAGGGATAGATAACTTTAGAGCATACTGCCTGGGAAGGGCAGGCTTTGAATGGTATCTTGTTGGGGCTCTAGGAAGTGGTTGAGAAACACAAAGCTGCCTGGGCAGGAGATGGGGATATTACAGAAAGGAAAGTTTACAAAAATGGAGGTGAGAGAGTACAAAAGCATCCTTTTCTCTTTTTGTAATTGTAACTACAAAAGATTAACAAAAGAGAAACTAGAGTGAACATGTGTGATAAAGCCAAAGGCTTATAAGTAATTAGCAAAGTACTAAAGCATGTGGTTCTGTTTATAATTAATATCTAATGAAAGATCAGTTCTTAATTCAAGAAAGGCCTCTATATCTTAGAATATGAACCTTTTGCCAGAACCAGAGTCCTATGGCAAGCAAGGTATGAAATTAAATTTTCATCTTTTTGCAATAATAATTAATGATCATATTTTTCATGAGGATTAACAGCTTTAAGCAAGGCTCAAAATCTTAATTAAACTTTAAAAAACCTGAAGAGCTATGACAGAATTTTAAACATTCCTGTACTGGGAATGTAGTAATATTGTCACTTTTTGTTTTATCAAAAACTATTTTACTAAAAATGTGGGTTAGCTATGAATGTGACTAAAAAGATTTGTATGTGACCAGAAGACCATTCCAGACCATGCACATGTAATGGCAGTTTTTGGTTTGTGGTTCTAGTGGTTATTTGCAAGCTTTGTGCTACTGTTACATGTAGCTTTGTTTCTAAGATCCACTTAAGTACTTTGAGAGTACACTTTTTTTTTCTACTTGTTTGTTCATTCAGCACACATTTACTGGAGTACCAACTGTCAGATCCTGTTAGATATTAGAGTGTTATATACAAAGATACAACACAAGCGTTCAGTCTAGTACATTTCCAGGTACCTAGGTTCCCTGTTTTTCAGTGAGTGTACTCCATGGCAGGATTTCTCAATCTCAGCATTTTGATATTTTGGGCCAGATAATTCTTTGTTTTGGGGGGCTGTCCCAAGGAGCATTATTAGGATGTTTAGCAGCATCCCTGGCCTCTGTCAATTAGATGCCAGTAACACTAGCCCCCACCCCAGCTGTGACAATCAAAAACTGTCTCTAGACATTGCCAGATGTCCCCTGGGAAAATCCAGAATGTGGACCAAATTATCTGTCATTGACAGAGTCTTTTTAAAATTAGTTTTCAAAAATACAAAGCTAGCTAATGTAATGAAAAGAAAACAGCCTAGCCCTGGCTAGTGTGGTTCAGTTAGTTGGATTGTTATCTTGTGCACCAAAGGGTCATGGGTTCAATTCCCGGTCAGGGCACATACCCAGGTTGCATCGGTTGTACGTGAGGCAACCCATTGATGTTTCCATATTTCTCTCTCTTCCTCCCTCTCCCTTCCTCTATCTCTCTAAAAACAACAACAACAAACCAGCCTAGATCTGTCACACTTTGCTTATTACTCCACAGGATTCCACATACATAACAGTAGTGCTGAATAACAAGTTTTTAGGTTGAGTGTCTATGAGATCTCTTTCTGAGTTACTGTGTATAGGAGAATAATTGTTCCGTTTCTTAATGACTTCACTAAAACAATAAATAATACAGTAATTGGAAATGGTGAGTCTTAGTTCTTTTCTGGGCTCTTATATCAAGATTACCCTCTTCTTGTGAAAAAAATATTTTCTCTAATGAGTAGCCTGGACAACTGGCACATTTAGGATGTTTTCTGTGATCTTCAGGCACGTGAAGCCTTCTTCACCTTACTGCTTTTCCATATTCAGACAAGGTGTAATGAACATTGTGTAACCAAGAATTTATCTCAGTAGTTTCTTAAAGCTTGTGTTCTGGTAATGCCTTCCTTCTCATAGAGGCACCACTTTCCTATCGGAAACAGCACTTCACTAGAAGTTCGGAAACCTGAGTTTTAAGTTCACCTCTGATACTAACCAGCATTTAAGCATCCATTAATCCTCTCAGTTTCATTTTCTTCACCTGTGAGATACAGATAGCTAGATAACCTAAATTCCAAAAGTCCATGCTCTGCTCAAACAGATTTGTTTCTTGTATCCTTATTCTTACAGAATATCTACGTTTCAGTTTCTGTGCCTATCAAGAGTGTTAATTCATCATGGATAATCTGTCAGCAGAAGAAATTCAGTTGAGGGCTCACCAGGTTACTGATGAGGTAAGCATTTTACTTGGAATAAGTAATTAATTTTCTTTTAATTTTAACAGTGGAGGGATGAGGGCACCTTTTTAAAAGAAGACTATTTTGGCCTTTTCCAAGTCCCTTTGTATCAAAGAATGCATTTGCCCTAGGTTGCCAATACTAGCTCCTTATTTTTTCATTTTACCAAAAAACTGAATAAGTGAAAACAATTTGTATGCTTTTTTAAGGTAATTATTAACAGTTACAACAAACATATTCTAGATTTGAGGAATTCTGGACATTGAATTTTAACAGAACTTTCTAATATCTGTGTAATATACCTAGATTTTTGCTTACATTAAAATTTTATAAATCCCATTAACTTCACCACCCATATTTTTTCTTAAGGAGCACCTGGTAAGAAGGAAGCTAAAGTTATAGTGATCAACTTTTTTGTTTGTTTGTTTTAAAGGGAGGGATTGATATGCTGGCAATCTTTAAAAATAGAGTAGCATCATGAGTGTAGCCTATGATCAGATTTTTCCTTTTTTCTACATGTTTTAGAATGCTAAAATTCTTATGTTTTCTTCTAGTCCCTGGAAAGTACAAGGAGAATCCTGGGTTTAGCCATTGAGGTAAGAAAGTATTTAATTATCAAGTTAAATACAGAAACTATATAGGAGGGATCCTGATAGCATAAGCTGGAATTGGCTTTGTATCAATAATCTTTATTGTTTGACACCAGCAATTGATGAAATTGTCAAACCACGCACTAATGGGATTCTCCCCTCCCCACCTCCCATTGACAGAATTGGAATATGACAGGGAAGATGAGTGCATCATAAGTTTGTGATTTAATTATTTGGGTCTGGGGGGCATAGCTAGTATGTTAAAGTGTGTTGGTTTGGGGATATTAATTTTCTCTGTGGCTTTATTCCTCTAAGAACTTAGGTTTCTAAATGATTCTCTCCTGCTATTGGTCAGGCCTTACAGTTTTTGTTTCTGTTATTTTTGCTATGTTTTGTTGTGCTATCAGCTTTTTTCCCTTCTTTTAGTCTCAGGATGCAGGAATCAAGACTATCACTATGCTGGATGAACAAGGGGGTGAGTTGAAGTTATTGGCAGAAACTTTTGATTTGACTGACGATTCCAGAAAGCCCTTTCACATGAGCCATGTATAAAATTAAGCATTTGGGAGTGCCTTCCCTTAGTAAGATAAGAATGATATGTTGCTTGTTTTTTTCTGATTTGGATTATGTTATGTTTATTGCTAATTGAAGGTGGGGGCAACAGTGTCCAAATGTATACCAGTTATTTGTTAGGCAGTAGGACTTACTATGTGCATTGGTCATATGTACATTAGACATTGTGACATTTTTTCATTTTCAGAAATTAAGTCCTTAAATAGGTCTATATTCAGATGAGCTTGGAAGCATTCTGTTTGAGTTGGCCGTGAGTCATTTGGTCTAGTTTTTGCTAGTCTTACAACAGCTCGCAGGTTTTGAGCCTATTCAAGGATAGAACTGCTGGAGATCTGGTCTGGTCACAGTATACTTAATTTGATTGCAAGGGTGATCTCTAAACAAATCCTCACATGCTCCTATTATACAAATTTCTTTAGAACAAATCTTTCCGCAGTAAGAGGCCAGGTGCCTCAGGATCGGGTATGTGAAAGATTGTTTTTATGTTGGACAGTATGTAAAACTTCCTGGCACTGGTACAGTCACTATGGTGTGTTATTGTTGGATTCAAGGTTAAAGTTTGCTATTTTATAATAATAATTAGTACTATGAATGTAATACAAAATGTAACTTCCACAACTTATTCTCAGAACAACTAAACCGCATAGAAGAAGGCATGGACCAAATAAATAAAGACATGAGGGAGGCAGAGAAGACTTTAACAGAACTCAACAAGTGCTGTGGACTTTGTGTCTGCCCATGTAATAGGTGAGTTGATAAATCAGGACCTTTTAAAAATAAATTTAAAGTGAGAGCATACCCCTTCCCTGTTCCCTAATAAGGAAATGAAGTGTGACTGGGCCTAAATAAGGAACTTTGTTAGATAAACTTAAGCTATTTCTCCTTCAGGCAGATCAAGCTTTTTATGTAAATGGGCAGATTCACTAAAAACCATGGCTTAAATTTGATCAATTCTTGGATCAAGTTCCAATTTCATTTTTTAGTAATACATGAAAAGATTGGGAAATATACATCCGGATAATACAGAACAGGATGGAATTAGTGTATTTTCTTTTCAAACAAGGAGTATTAACAAAATATATATTCTGTGCTAGGCACATGAGGGATAGCCAGGGGAGTAAAGGACCTGGATCCTGTCTTCAGAAGACTTACCATGTGGTTGGATGTATGAGGAAGAATAGCAAAAAGTAAAACATATAAATCTAGTGCATGTGATATCAACTAAGGCTAAGGGTACAGAACTGATAAAGGTTGATTTGGGGAACATGTTATAGGAGAGGCAGGACTTGAATTGGGCTCTTAGGGATTAGAAGGCTTTGGATGGACATGGAAGAACTGGGAGGGCATTTCCTGTGGGAGATTTAATGTAAACAAACATTACAGACAGGCTTGACTTAACTGAGCTGCATGATTTATGTAGATGAGAAGTGGAAAATAAGACAAGTAGGCAGTAGAAGTAACTTGAATACAAGAACTAAGGAGTTAATGGCTTGGAGTGGAGTATATAACTACACACCACAAGATTAGTTAGAAACCTTTTGTAATCTAGGCCTGTGAAGTAAGACCTTGCCATTGAGATTAGAGAGAAAAATGTAAGTCAGAATGCATTTTAAATCAGCTGATTGTATGTCAAACACAAGGAAGGAAAACCCAAAAAAGACTCCAAAGATCTGAGATCTTTAGTATACTAACTAGGAGATGAAAAGTCTTTAAACTGTTTCTATACAGTGTATGAGATTTTTTTTTTTATGCTTGACAGAAAGGAATTCATTCTTCTAGGTGACTCTATTTGAATATTTAAATTCTCTGCTTATTCAAGGGTAAACCAAACTCCATGGTATTGACAAATACTGTATTATTCAGACCACGATGAGGTTTGGACTAGGGCAATTAATCATTATCTTGCTTTCTGTTAGAAGGAGCTCATCTTTGTTTTAAAAAGTAATTAACAAAAAACCTTTGAACTTTACCCTTAGTTGAAAGGACAGTGTCTGGAGATTGAATGACTATCATTACTGCTGAGAGTATTCATTTTTTAAGAGCTTCATAAACATTCGTTCGGTATTTCTGTCTAGTTGTCTTGGTGTAGTAAACCAAGAACGGGATACGAAGGTTTACAGACTCTCAGGACTTTTACTCCCCAAAGGAGTTAGGAATGGAGGAACTTTTGTTATAGTGTCATAATTTTTGATAAGTGTTTTCATGTGATAGCAGTCTCTATGCCATTTCTACTAGAGAAAATAGAGTTAAGTTGCTTGTTGATTAGCTTGTTTTAGACACAAGAAGTTAAGATTTGACAGTGTTCTATCTAGGCTTGTCCATTGGCTTCTTATTCTAAGACAAGTCTGTTTTGACCTTTTTAGACCTTGGATGACTCTCCAAAAGTGCATATTTTAATGACTATGGCTGTCAGTCAGGGTTTAGCAGATTATTGTAATCCAACAAATTAGAAATGCATAAGTTTTTTGATCCAAATGCTTAACTATGTTTTGCAAACTTGTCCCTTTTTTCTGTGTTCTGCGTACCATCTTGGAAGAGTGTAGAGGGAAAAAAGTAAGTTAATTTCCTTGTGATTAGATAGTATGAGAAGAGCAAGGAGAAAGAAGTCCTTCTTAGAACCTACAGCAAAATCAGTTCTGAGGCAGGGGCTGAATAGGAAGAGCAGTGAATTGTAAGATGGTCTAATATCATAGAAAGTGGGAAATGAAACTACAGAAGTATTAATTTTATTTCTCTTTGTGTATCCCAGCCAAACATGGGCAAGATTTTCTTGGACACTTGTGAAAGAGAAGGTAGAGTATGGTCCTGAAGCAGTTTTTTGCCTCTAACCTCAGCAGAACTCTTTCTCAGAGGATCAAGAGAAAGAACTTCTTAACAGATGGAATCAAGAGGTTACTAAAATAGAGCAGTTGTTTCCTGAAGAGGAGAGAGTTAGAGATGTCTGATAATAATTGCCTTCCTTCCAAACTTATCTTTTCTTTATGTCATTGAGTCCTTGGCCTCTATGGTATCTCTTGTCCTCAGCTTTATCTGCTATCATTTCTGCCAGTGTTTTGATCTTTCCAGTTTCATCTGCTGGTTTCCATTTAGGCTTTTCATATAAATCGCTATAACATGAGCCTCTCAAAGGCCAATACAGGATCTTAGTCGTCTTCGTGTGAGGGTAGTACTAATTCTAGTATTAGTAATAACAGCTCAGGTCCACAGTCTCTTATCTGCCATTCAGAAATCTAAAAGACTCTCAAAGCCAAAGGTTTGTTGTTGTTTTATTTGTGTTTTTTTCATAATGTGGTACCAAAATTCATTAAATAGGCCACAAAATATAACCTGAACTGAAGCTATTTATAATCTTTATCACACTTAATATGTCAGTTTGTTTCACTGCAGAAATATTGATGTATTTGATTATGTGGTACTGCTCAAAATGTTTTACATATAAGGGTTTGGACAAGAGTTGTGGGCCTATAATGTTAATTTAGGCTCTTACTATTCTGAGAACTTTAAATTTAATACTAACAGTAACTTTAATATGAGATAGACTCTCTTATTATCACCATATTACATTTGGGGAAACAGAGGCACAAAGAGGCTACATTAGCAAGTGGAAGAGTTGAGATTCAAAACCAGCAGAGCCCTAGCTTTTTTTTTTTTTTTTTTTTAATATGTTTTTATTGATTTCAGAGAGAAAGGAAGGGAGAGGGATAGAGAGATAGAAATATCAATGACAGACATCAATCACCTTCCTCCTGCACGCCCCCTTCTGGGGATCAACCCTGCAACCCAGGCATGTGCCCTGACCCGAAATCAAACTGGGGACCTCTTGGTTCATGGGCCAGTGCCCTAGCATTTAACTATATCCTACATTGCTTGACTTTGGTGAGAAAAGAATGAACTTTTTTGATGTTGCTGTTGTTAGATGTATTGCTATAAAGAAAATGTCTTGAGTAGATTTGTTCTTTGAGATGTTTTTTTGTTCAGTAGTAGTCATTGACGCCAGGTCAACAAATCCTTTTTTTTTTTTAAATAAGACATGGAAATAGCTTTACTTAACAGAACTTTATATTAGAAGGGAATTTTAACTTCAGCTAATTTTTAAAAAAATATGTCTTTATTGGTTTCACAGAGAGGAAGGGATAGAAACATCAATGATGAGAGAGTCATTGATCAGCTGCTTCCTGCATACCCCCCACTGGGGGTCGAGCCCACAACCTGGGCATGTGCCCTGACTGGGAATCTAACTGAGATCTCCTGGATCATAGGTTGATGCTCAACTGGTGAGCTGTGGTACGCCGGCTGGGCTCAGCTAGGTTTTTTTAAGGGATTACTAGACTTTAAAAACAGACTAGTAGGATTAAACTTTAAAATTATGAATAAATGTCATGTTAGCTTGTTACTATTTAAATCCTAAAAGCAAAATAGCACATAGCCTTATTAAAATTTTTATATCTTTGTCAGTAATTTAGAAAAATTGTAATTCTTTTTTTTTGTTGTTAATCCTCACCCAAGGATATTTTTTCCATTGACTTTTAGAAAGAGAGTAGAAGGGGGGAGGGACAGAGACAGAGACAGAGAGACATCGATTGGTTGCTTCCTGCACATGCCCTGACCACGCACGGCCAGGGATTGAACCTGCAGCTCAAGTATGTTCCGTTGACCAGGAATTGAACCCAAAACCCTTAGATGCGCAGGCGGATGCTCTAACCACTGAGCAAGACCAGCCAGCACAAAAAGTTGTAATTCTAATTAACAAGAGCTTAAAAGGGGGCAGACTTAAAATGGGAAGTCTCAGACTAGTAAACTTCCCACTGTACCAGTTTCACCATTCTCAGACAAGGTACCCGTCTTTACTTGCATTTCTTCAGTCTGTACTTGTCAAACATAATGGCACAGAGTTTGAAGACAAATTGGTATTTCTGGACCACTTCCTAGAGAAGTTCAAAATTGGTACTACAGGTTTTATACTACTCCAGTCCTGTGTCATACTGAGGTACAAATATTTAGCTCTGATTGGTTAAAATAATACTGAGTTATATTTTAGTTCACATTTGAGTGCTTCCTCCATCCTGTTCACTGAAGAGATACAAAGATGAGTGAGGTATAGGTCTGGTGCTGTTTTATTTATCATTACTCTATTTTTGTGTCTCACATGGTATCTGATACATAGTAGGTGCTCAATAAATACTTGTTGATTGAATGTCCTTGAGAAGCTTGTTGGCTTACAATAGAATTGACATGTAAAATTATTTTTAAAAAATTAAAATACCAACAAAAATTATAATAGAAGTAATTAAGAGAAATCTGTAATCACAAAGAAAAGAATGAGGAAGTTTTACAACCTCTCCATTTGTATTTACCTTTCTTCATATTTTCACAATTTTTGGAAAGTATTATTACTCAGACATTCTTAGGAAAGATAAAGTATACTCTGATTTAAGTAGTTTTTTTGTTTTTCTTTTTATCCAGATTCTCAGATGTTGGTTGTTTCTATGAAATCAGGCAGGAATTTAAATGCATTGTTTTGAAAACTCTAAACCTGCTTCTGTTCTGTTTGACTGGCATTCACTATTTTCTGCATTTCATTCTCTCACCTAATCTTTTCCTTTCTAATCTGCTTACTAAAAATGAAGATTTAACATCAGAAGCCGGGCTCAGTAACTGATCAAAGGGAACTTTAAGATGCAGTCTTGTGGCGCAGTTGGGGCTGTTAACCTGCTATCTAAAGGTGATGCTTCAAATGGCTTTTCTGTGCATGTGCATGGATTTGTGAATGGTGGAGACTGTCCTAAAAACTGTGCTGTGGTGTGTACTGTAAAATGAATTTGTTCTTGATGGGTGCTGTCTGCCAAAAGGTGGACTTGACAAAAAGGATCTTAATTTATAATACCACCCTTTGACTAATGGCTCTGATAACTCAGATTTTGTTAAATAACATTTAATATTATAAAAATAAAAATACCCTTGAAGTTTCCTACGGGGTTTTAAGTAGGTCAATGTAGAGAATTGCTGTGTTCTAGTGCTGATCAAATGTAAGTAAATTCAGACTAAATCCATCTCTTTCTATAGGATTTTGATTTCAGCATCCTATCTTTTATTAAGCTTTCTTACTCCTTTGTGGTTCCACAATCAGGATTTTCTGTATTAAAATGTTGCTTGTAATGATTTGGATTCCCCATGATTTAGGCCACTACCAATACCAAATTGAGGAATTAATTGCCCAATCCAGCCATCTTAAATGTCATTTGGAACAAGGTGTGAGATATGAATTTAAAATGTTACCATATCTAGTATCTTCTTTTTTTTAAATAAGGGTTCCCCCCCTTTATATATGTTACAAACTGTTCCATAATTCTAATATGTCATGTGTTAGCTTTCTGTGGTTTCATGTTGAATTAATATGGAGCTAACTAATCTTTTTTATGTAATTAACTCTCTAGTCAGACTACTGTTGACTATAATGTTTGATTTCTTCCTTTTGGATCTCTATGGGAACTATCAAGACTGTGGTTAATTGTTAGAAAGCTAAATATTTGATTTTTACCCTTTTCTCTTGGTCTCCTTTTTCTTCTTTCCTATAGCCTGATCTTCCAATACACACATGCACATGTGTACTCATTACAATTGGTATTTATTTGATCCCTTTTCTCCTTGATATGAAAGAAATTTGGCTAATATTTGGCTTTCTTTTTGCTGTTCAATTTGTAATAATGTTGACAACCAAAACTAGAAAAAGAAATTGTTAAAGTTATTGTGTTCTTACCCTGATGCTTGTTGTTTTCTGCTTTTATAGCAGTTTGTTGAATTAATTAAGGGATATTTTAAATTTTTTTAATTTCAAAGCTGTCATTTTTCAGTGAGATATATATGGAAAAAAAGTGGTTAAAGGTTATTAGGCTTCTTAAACTGATAGAGATGAAGCTAACTTTCCAGATAGAGTTCTTAATTACATTAAATTCTACCCCAAATTTATGTAAACATTTTATCATGAAGTCTAATTTCTTCCTAGAGGGGCTATAAATTTTATTATGCAAAAGAGTTCTATTGCAGATCAGAACCATTTCTTTTTTACTGTAAACCAAAACAACCTGGGCCTAGATGTCTCGTTATGTGAACATATCCCAACTATATTCAGCTACCTGTAGATCTCAAAGCTAGGGAATGTTAATGGGCCAGAAGAGTAAACATACTGATGGTAACCTGTGCATTTTAAAGGCATGAACTATTAATTGAGGATTGGGTGGAGGTTGAAGCCAAAGAATAAAAGTACTTATCTAATGCTTTACAAAGCAACTTTGCATCCATTATCAACAGGACTTTTCACAGGTTTGTGAACTATTAAATGTTGTTATCTTTTTTACATAAAACTTAAGAGATGGAAGTTTGCTTAAGGTTTTACAGCTATTGAATGACAGGTCTGGGATTAGGATTCAAGTCAATTTACTACAAATCTTGTAGCTTTAAAAAAAAAACCTCCTGGTGTAGACCTTTGCTTCCTCCAGATCAATTCCTCAGTGTCTCAATACATAGAAATACAAAGACTATTAGAGTAATCTAAAATATTTCTTCTAAAACAGATTGGAAGACCCTTAGGACAGTGTTTGTCTTCCCTGCCTGGGTAGCTAATGACCTAAAACAATAACAACAAAAAACTCTCAAGTTCCACTTCATACATATTGAAGCAGAATTTTCATAGTGTAACCTGTGCTGCGCCTGTATGTTCAAAGCATCCAGGTCACTCTGATGCTTATTCAAATTTGCGCATATTACCTTTAAAGCATTTAAGACCCTTTGTAGGAAGACAAATTAAATTAACATTAATATTATTATTACTATTATATCTTTATTTTTTTTTTAAATTTTATTGATTTCAGAGAGAGGAAGTGGGAGGAAGAGAGGGAGAGAAACATCAATGATGAGAGAGAGTCATTGATCGGCTGCCTCCTGCATGCCCCCTGCTGGGGATCGAGGCTGCAACCTAGGCATGTGCCCTGACCAGGAATCAAACCGCGACCTCCCGAATCATAGGTCGATGCTTAACCGCAAAGCCATGCTGGCCGGGCTATTACATCTCTGTTAACTTCTGAGAGAGGAAGGGAGAGAGAGAGAGAGAGAGAGAGAGAGAGAGAGAGATAGAAACATCAATGATGAGAGAGTCGTTATTGATCGGCTGCCTCCTGCATGCCCCTGACTAGGGATCGAGTCGGCAACCCAGGTATGTGCCCTGACCGGGAATTGAACCGCCATCTCCTAGATCCTAGGTCGATGCTCAACCACTGGGTCATGCCCAGCAGGGCTAAAATCATTATTTTTATTAGATAGGCAGCTACCTGACAATGCCCTTAAAAACAGATAACTTTCAAGGGTGTTCTAACTTGGTGGGAGAAGCCCCAGGGTAATAGCAAGTGGCAGGATCTAGAGCAAGCAGAAGGCATTACCCAGAGTGAAGGTGCTCAAAGGGAAATGGAGCTATCACAAGGATAAAGATATGAAATCAACAGCACTTAAAAATCACTTCTTCATAAACATGCAGGTGTCATGTCATAACCGCATGAAAAAAAGTGCAGTATTTCCCCAACCTGTTTGAAAATAAGCCTGACAATCCAATGCAAAGCTGTAAAAAAATTCAGATTTTTGTATCATTTCCCCCTTGATATTGGAGGAACATCTTCAGGGAACCAGTCCTCTTAAAGGGAGAAGGGTTTAGTAACCAGTCTGATTCTTCATTTATAGACTGACTTAGTTGAACCTCATTCATATCATGTTAAAACAGTTTGTTTGCATCTTATGCCCTTTAAATCTAATTGTGGAAGGAAGAATTCTCAAAAGTTTAAGGAATTTCAGATATCAGCTCTTAAGATTGAGAAGGAGGTTGGAGCATGTATATATCCCTTGATAGACCAAGAGCCCACAGTCCTGTTTTAACACATAAAGAGTAGACCTTCAGAAACATAGTGTCTTAATATTTAGTGACTTTTGAATTCCAACTCTCAGTCTTTGACCTGTTCTACAACCTGACATACTGATAAAAGCTCCACTTATCTTCTATTAATACATCTGGTTGTTCACTTTCTGATAAACTAATATGTTTATTTTGTTTACTAGCTATTAGCCTGCTTTAGAATTTTACCTGAGATCCATCTTATTAACAAAGAATACATGTAAATTGGTTTCACCAAACTAACAGATAATTATATGTAAATATTCCATTTAAAAGTGTATATATATCCCACCTTGTTCCAGGAAAGATTTAACATGGCTTATTAAGAAATAGAGTAATAAAACATAATAGCATAAGTTAGAAATCAATTGTGAGAACTTAAAAGTGGAACCAAGGAAGGACTTTGAGAACTAGCTCTTCAGTGTTCATGGATTTGTTTACCTTTTCAGTGCCTCTTAACAAAAAAGTAGTAGTATCCTTTCTTTAGCGTTAATGATTAAGGTCCAAGATCTAATTCTGTTTGCCAAAAATGAATCCTCACATATCTATTAAAGAAGGAGCCACTATTTTTATAAATTCTCTGCTTTTGTAGTTTTGAAACTTCCTCATTAACATATTTATGTGGAATAAATCAGAGGCCAGTATTATAGCCATATCCTACTTTGTTTTTGTATATAGAAAAAAACTAAAATTGTATGAGTGAAACTGTACCTACTCAATCAGTAAAAAGTTTTGTGTTTTTTTGTAATCGCTATTTTAAAATCATTTACATATGCTATTTTTCGAGCTGTTTATACCAGTTTGAGTAGTAAATCCCATAGTAAAATTCTGGCTTTGGCTGATTTTTGGCTATATCAATTACATCTAAAGCATATGCTTTTATTTTTAAGAGGCCTGGATTTAGGATTTTTTTCTTCTTCAAATTAGAAAAAAACTCTTAAATGAAAAAGCCCTAAACCAAAGGATTTATAACTGGCACCAGTTTTGTCAAGATTGTTAAGTTATTCATTGGTTGTTCAATTTGGAAATAATTCATGCCTTTCCTTCATGATGTTTGTTAAGAAATACTTTTTAAAGTTTTAATGCGAAATTCTAACTTAAAAAAACCGATCAGCTGGAACTACTCCAGTTCAAGTAAGGGCGTCTAAGTATTGCCTACTCAGCCTCCTTACTATTCCATCCTCATCAACCTCTGAGATGCTGCCAAGGAACCTCTTAAGGCATCCCAGAATACTGCCTAAGGGATTTTTTTTCCTAGTGTCCATTAAGTTCTTTTCTGGAGAGTGTTAGAGGCTGAGGGAACCTGAAAAATCGAATAAATGCATTTTGCTACTTGCTAATTGCTTAATGAAGATTTGGTGGAAGTATTTGAACCTTTAAAAAATTTTTAATGTCAGCGGGTATTAAAATTCATCTTTTTTCCTATGCCATATTGTGATGTTTCAGAGTATAGATATTCTAGATCTAGCTGTATGTATGTAGCTATTATGGTAAGGGTTCAAGCATCATTTTCAACAGAACAAGCACTAATAATTACAACTCTCCTTCTCCTGCTTTTTGGTGTCTCTCTGCACTCCTGACTCATATAGGACAAAGAACTTTGAGTCTGGTAAGGCCTATAAGACAACATGGGGAGATGGCGGAGACAACTCTTCCAGCAATGTAGTATCTAAGCAGCCAGGCCGAGTGACAAATGGTCAGCCTCAGCAAGCAGTCACAGGAGCAGCCAGTGGTGGATACATTAAACGGTATGCCAGCTCCTCCCAATATTTTTACCCCTTTCCTAAGTGAGTGGCTCACTGAGGAGGATGGGTGTAGTTATACATGAATCCTAATTCATCAGGTAGAAATAGCATTTAAAATCTGTCTTCTGACAAAATGTTGACTGTGGTTATTGGCCTTCAATGATGGATTTTTCTTTATATTTTTCAGTACTTTCCAAATTACTGAAGTAAGCTGTAAATAAGAAAGTGTGTTTTAAAATGCAGGGGTTGGCCAAATCCCTATAAGAATAGCTATAAAGGTCAGATAATATTTCAGACTTTGCAGGCCATACAGTCTCTGTCGCAACTACTCAACTTTGTTGTTGTAGGAAGGTTTGTAAAAACACAGATTGCTGGGATCTACTTCCATTCTGTTTCAGCAGATCTGGAATGGAGTGTGAGAATTAGCATGTTTTGTGTCTAACAAGTTCCCAGATGATGCTGGGAATTACATTTTGAGAACCACTGTCTAGAGTTGTTACTTAATCATCTCTTACATTGTGCTCTTTGATTCGTCTTTCAATTTTTACTATAGAATGTTTCTAATAATGGTAACCTATGTTCCCTTGGGTTTAACACTTGCTTAAACTCATTTTGGTTGCTTATTTTTATGCAAATTAAATCCAGACTTACTCCTTGTAGAATTCACCAAAAAATGCTGAATTAACTATCTTTTTGTGATAGTATAACAAATGATGCCAGAGAAGATGAAATGGAAGAGAACCTGACTCAAGTGGGCAGTATCCTAGGAAATCTAAAAAGCATGGCCCTGAACATGGGCGATGAGATTGAGACTCAAAATAAAAAAATAGACCGGATCACAGAAAAGGTAAAAGCATTTTAGTGCATATAAAAATGAGACATCTACTATAGTGTTTCAGTAATGGATATCTGTGCTAGGTACTTTGGGGGAGAACAATAGGTTAAGATCCTGTCCTTACCTGTGTTAGAATTTTGATTAGGTGGCCAGTTTTAGCACATTGAAAAACAGTAGCTAAGTTCTTTTGCTCACAGCAGTTGGTTCATTTTGAAACCAAGAACTTGGAATGAAATGGTTTTATTTAAAATTGTACACATGAAGCTTAGAATCTCTAACCTTTATGTGGGCTTCCCCCCTCCCCCCCCGCCAATGAGCAAGGTAGCTTTTGGAGTTTTGTTAAATAACAAATTAGTAAGTTCCTGAATCCTCCTAAGTCAGTAAGGTGAAAATCAGTTCTGCAGATTGGTTCTTTTGGCACAAAATAGTGTGCCACAGAGAGTAATGAAAAAGGGTGATTTTTTTTTTTCTACTGCGAGTAAGATAAAAGACACTGAAAGTGAAATTGTGTTCAGTGTTTGGATGTATCACACCTAAATGTCATTCTTACTCATTGTTACTCAGTTTACTTCGAAAGATAGGGTGAGTTTTTAAGCTCGACTCTCTGGTGAATCATGTAAAATTAATTTCATTGAGGCAAACAATGCTTTCAGTGCTATCATTGGGTTTACAATACATAATACCCATCATTTTAATTTGTATATTGATGTGGATGTGGTACTATATCTGTTCCAAAGGTCTTAGGGAAGGTTATTTCAGTCTCTCGGTTTTAGAACTAGGATAGCTCTAGATGGGATTGTATGATTCAGTGTAAGGGACCTCCCACTAGGTCCAGATCTGTAGCAGAGATGAGCATTCTGATATTTCATTGCATCTAAATGCCCTTGATTGTAAGATATATCCTTTTTTAAATATATAAGATGTATTCTAATTTCAAATATGATAAACTGTGAAAAAATATTGTAGAATTCATGAAATACAGGCAAGTTCTGTTATACCTTTTGTTATATTTATATACCCAAGTTTTTTCAAATTAATTTGATATTCTGTCCTTGCCCAAAGTCAATTTTGTAATGTGACTTCAACTGTCTTCTGAATTTTCTGAGTGTATCAGTTATTCCAAGTGTATGAAATTTAACTTCTATTAGATCAACTTACCTTGTGAAGTAACGTTGATGTCTTCTTTTTTTTCAGGCTGACACCAACAAAAGTCGTATTGACATTGCCAATGCCCAAGCAAAGAAACTCATTGACAGCTAAAGTACTGCTGTACTTCTTTACCATTTATTCATGTACCTAGCTCTTCCTTCAGAGTCATTGCCTTTTCAGAGTTTGAAATTTTGGTTCCACACTCTTCTAATCAGGAGATAATGTGGAAGAGGGGCAAAGAGTAACAGCTCCTTTTTTTATTTTCTCTTTTTCCCTTGAAGGTAGACTGCTGCTCGGCCTTCCTTCTAGTACTTTCTCAGTTTATACTCTTAGCTTGGTTTTTATACATCATATATAGCATTGTTTTTCACCCTCCTTATTTAATATAGCAGGTTCTTCTTTCAAGATTTGGAAGTATTGCCAAAGACAGCCATGAAAAAGGAAGCTGAGGGCAGGGGTGGGGGAGTGCAAGAAGGAGAAGCAAGTGATAAGAGGTCGTTACCTCAGTAAAACCTTCAGGACACAAAGCAAAAAGTTGCATAGCTACAGTAAAGATCTAGTTGGGTTTAGATTTTAAGTTGCAGTTATTGCCAATTTAGGCTAATACTTGGTTTTGGAGCTTTTATATACAATATTTTTGTTATACATCACAACTTTGCAACCTCTGCTTCAAAAAAGAATAGAATGAGTTTTCTTAAAGTGAGCTTAATTCCCAAACTCTTGATGGTTCATATATGTACATAGTGTCTGTGATCACATTTCACATTGCACCATACAGGAACACTTTGTACAAATGAATAGCTTTTTATTTTCATATTAGTATCATGGTTCCAATTCAAGCCTATTAACCTCATAAATTTGTCATTAGTCTTTGAAGAAAAATATGTAAATATGTATGTACATGAGAATTTCTGTCTAAAGCAGGGCGTAAAATTTGGGGGGAGTTTGACAAAATAAATCACGTGATTTCAGATTTACCTCAATGCCAACAATTATGTTTAGGTAGGAAAAAAGTTGTTTTGATCTCAGGTAGAAAAATTGTTAGATTACTTTGAGTTTTATGTAGACTTAGACTTTTAAAAAGGTAGACTTCTGTTTAACTAAAAGTGATTTGCAAAATTATGCCTTTGGTTTGATTATTGATTGTACTGTTATTCTTTTAGTACCCGCTTTACTTAGACCCTGAACAGTTTTATAAGAATCTGATTGGTATTTGTCACCTTTCTTTAAAAGCTAGCACCTGCACACATCAAAGCTATTGATGTGGGTTGGTTTGACCAATAACCACTGCTTGATCCCTACAATTAAATTTTTTAACTAATGGAATTGTTCTTTCAAAGAGGCGTGTTTCTATGACTGTTCTTTGGTGGTGTCAATCATTTCATTAGCTCTTATTCAACAAATTAAATAAAGCAAAGATCCATAAATCAAGAAGCACTCCAAAAGAAAGCTGCCTTTAGGCATCTTTCCCATTTTTGTTGGATATACTGACAAGACTTGCCTTTCTGTGATTTGTCATGAGGTTCATTTTAATTATTATTAGTCTTTTACTCATTTGAGCTTAAATACACCAGTGACTGACAAGAGAGTGTTTATGAGAGAGAACTACAACCCACTTGAGAAGATAGTTAACACGAGAGTTTTCAAAGGCTGAAGAGGAGCATATTTAAAGTGAGATTCATTTAGACCCTCTGTAATGGAAATGTTCCATGCTGAAGAGAGTAGTTTGGCAGCTGAAGATACATGTGTAAAGAAGGTATGAAACACTGGGGATTGTGCTATACTTAAACACCCTTCCTAAGAGCACTTAAAATTCTTTAACACTATTACGGCTAAAGGAAATAGTTCTGAGGATACCAACCTGCTACAGTCACAGTATAATGGGTTAGAAGTGTGAGCTTAGGCACCAAATTGTCTGGATTTATTTACACTGTAGCTCTGCCACTTGCTCGCTGAGTGACCGTAAGCCCGTTTCTGTGCCTGAGTTTCCTTGTCTGTAAATGGGGATTAACAATTCCTACCTCATAGACTCAACATGGTAATGCATGGAAAGCACTTAGCAGTGTCCAGCAAATGTAAGCGCTTAATAAGTAATAGCTGCTATTCCCTCTAGAGTGGAGGTCTGTCTGGACCAAGGATGGATCCCTTTGTGAATTTGATGAAAGACAACATCACAGCCTATCTATGAAGAGAAAAAGACACACAAACATGACTCATGCATAAATGGGTCTTGAAAGCCCATCCATGGATCTTAGGTTACAAACTTTATTTTTATTTTTTTTAATCCTCACCCGAGGATACTTTTTCCATTGCTTTTTCAGAGAGAGTAGAAGGGAGAAAGAGAAACATCAATGTGAGAGACACTGATTGACTGCCTCCTACACCAACCAGGGCTGGGGATTGAGACTGCAACCAAGGTACGTGTCCTTTGCTGGAATTGAATCAGGACCCTTCAGTCTGCAGTCCGACACTCTGACCACTGAGCCAAACTGGCAGGGCAACTTTATTTTTATTGATTTGAGAGAGAGGAAGGAAGAGAGAGAAACACTGATTTGTTGTTCCACTTATTTATGCATTCATTAGTTGATTCTTTTATGTGCCTTGACCAGGGATTGAACCCACAACCTTGGCATATCGGGCCGACACTCTAATCAACTGAGAGTTTTCAAAGATTGTGCTACTGAGAAAGAGGATGAGGCCATAGAAATTAGGCCCATAATACGCTAGAAATAGAAGCTGTTGACTTCAAGATTTTCCCAGGTTTTCTCCTGTAATATTTTTGGAAACTTGTTTGCATTACTTCTAAAAGGTAATGACTGAAGTGGTTAACATAGCTTTGCAGTCTGACCACCTGAGTTCAAATTTTGGTTCAGTCACTTAGTAGTTGTGTGACCTTGAGCTTATCTATAACTAAGGAGTTAAAATACAGTATTCTCTACTGAGCTTAATTTTTTTAACAGTCAGCTCGCTCCAAATTTCCAGTCTTATAATGGACAATGATTTTTATCCCCTATAGTTGTGCCTTTTTTTTCTTCCTTCAGTTTTAATTCATCCTTTATTACCACTTCAGCTCTAGATATTTTCATGTCATGTGTGGATTGTGAATACCAACTTAAAATTTCTACTTCCCAATTGTGCTTAGAATTAGTTTCTTTAAATGCTATTTTCTTTAGGTCACTCTCTTACTAAAATTCTAAGTTATCTAGGCCTAGCTGGGTTTGCTCAGTGGTTAGAGCATTGGCTCACAGAATGAAAGGTCTCAGGTTTGATTCTGGTCAACGGCACATATGTTGGTTGCAGTTTAGACCATGGTACGGATGCATGCGGGAGGCAACCAATCAATTTGTCTCTTTTACATCGATGTTTTTCTCTCTGTGTCTCCCTCCCTTCCACTCTCTGAAAAGGAATGGAAAAAATATTCTCAGGTGAGGATTAAAATAAAAATGCTAAATTATCCCAGTTACCCATGTCAGATTTGTATTTCTCAGATTGATCCAAGTTCCTTATTCTCTAGTCATTTGTTTTTTATCTTTTTTAACTTGGTACCTGATCAAAGCCTTTCATTTTTCTACAACTTGCTATATTCTATTTTAATACCTTACAGATGAAATAAATGGCACCATTTATTAAGTGCTTTCACTGCTGTGGGCACTGTTCTAAATGCCCTTGTTGGTTTTTTTTCTTTTAAATATGTGTTTATTGATTTTAGAGAGAGAAAGGGAGAGAGAGGGAGAGATAGAAACATTAATGATGAGAGTCATTGATCAGCTGCCTCCTACACGACCCTGCTATGGATTGACCCCGCAATCTGGGCATATGCCCTGACCAGGAATCAAACCATGATCTCCTAGATCATAGATCAATGCTCAACCGCTGAGCCACACCTAGCCGGGCGAGAGGGCGTTTCTGACTGAGCAAACAATGTAAAGGCAGTTAAAGGAGAGAGACATTGTACTGTGGGTTTAAGGAGCAGAATAATCTGGCATGACTAGGCAGGCAAATGAGTGAAGAAAAAGTACCTGGAAATAAGGCTGGGTCTAAGTAGTAGTCATTGATAGGGGTGGGGATTTTTTAAAACTCAATAATTAAGTGGCTGGGGACATTTAAGTTTATAAGTTTCAATTTATTAGATGATAAGAACTGATAAAATATTTAGAGAAAAATTAATTGTTCAGTCAGTAGATCAATAAGATCAAGCATTAAAATTTATTTTTTTGAAAAACTCAATAATGATAAACTATTCCTCCCCAAATTGAGAAACAGAAAACAACGCAGGAAAAAGACTACCTAGACTAGCCCGGCAGGGCGTGGCTCAGTGGTTGAGCATCAACCTAGGATCCAGGCAATCGGGGTTCGATTCCCGGTCAGGGCACATGCCCGGGTTGTGGGCTTGATCAATGACTCTCTCATCATTGGTGTTTCTGTCTCTCTCTCTCCCTCTCCTTTCCTCTCTCTGAAATCAATAAAGATATATTAAAAAAAAAAAAAATACGCAGACTAGATTTAAGGTCAGAGACATCCTCATATAGATTAAATACTAGGCTCTTAGGATCTCTTGACATAAAGGTCAAACTAGGTTTGTAAAATAAGAACTGTCAATACATGGTAAATAACAGCCCCTTGGCCATGACAAAACTTCAGAAAATGACAGAGTGGTAGCTTTCTAAATGTTGATGTCAGTAACAATTTGAACCCATTTATCTTTGTATCTTCAGTTTCTCTTAATAGGCATGGTTCCACTACCACAAAATATCAGTCACAAGAAAGCATTGAAGTAATCCTGCAAACTGAACATGAAACATTTCTTCCTAATCAGTTTATTTTTAAACAAAAGGCCATTTACAGGTTAAAGTTTTCCTGTCTTCTTTTAAAAGATGAACCTTTCTTCCAGCCAAAAAGTTCATTAAAAATTCTTTATTTAGTATATTCTCTCATTCAGGGAATAAACTTGATTAACATAGGTTGTTTTAAAATACTGTAGTAGCTTATTGATGGGTAATTTGATTAGTAGTTATAAGTACAAAAAGGAGAAAAGGATTACCAGAAATAAGACATTATTTCTAACAAAGTTTCAGGAAAATCTTGATTATTAAAACCCCTTGTATCTTACAAGTTTTGCATATATGGTTTTAGCTCTTCAGAGCTCTCTACCAATAAGGCACCTGCAATAGTAAAGAATTTGCTACTGCAGCCTTGGGGAACATCTCTTAATGTTGTATTGATGCTTCTTTGACAAAGTACGGTTTTAATCAAGACAGTCACATATTTATGTACATCCTAAATTCCAAGTATAAATACTATAATTGAACTGATGGACTGGAATAAAACACAAATCCTTAGATTAACCGTAGCAGCCTCTGACAAGTTATTTGAATTTCATAAAAATGTGAAATGTTAACAGAAGTGGGATGGCAGCTGATTCTATGAGAAAGCTCACTCACTGAAACTAGACATGAAATTTCAAGCTGTGGTATGAAGCTATTCTGTTACCACACAGCATCCCCTGTATAAATAGCAATTAGGTACTGGTTTCTTAAAACCAAACTAATGATGATTTTGAAGATCAACATTGTCCATTGCCCTATCCATGACTCAAAATGGAGACTTCTTCCTGTCTGTTCATTCCTTTTAGCTTATTTGAGATAAGCTCTACAAAGGAAAGAGATCAAATAAAATATAATCTCCTGGAGTATCAGCTCCTTACTGCAGACATCCTTAACAACAACAGGAGCCTTTGATTCAGCCAGATTGCAACAGGTTCCAAATTAACGTCCTATAAGGAGTCCCATGCTTGTGGAGAACATCATGCAAACTTCTTCTTGGTGGCCGTGAACCTCTCCATGTACTAAAAATCATGAAAGAAGAATATATACATATGTGGTATTTTTGCATGAGCAAATTTATTACCCTTTTGTTACTTAGGTTTTCATATGATTTTTTTTTTTTAATTTAGGTTTTTATTGGATATGGTCCTTCATTTCCACAAAATCTACCTATTCTAAATGCAAAACTAAAGCACATAGTTTTGGGGACTTTTAAACTTTTCTTTGATATTTTAATAAGAAACCTATCAGAAGACAAAGATGCTTTACAATACACTGTCTATAAAAAAAGTCACCTTGGTACAGTACAAGAATGTATACAAGTAAATCTTGGTACAAGAATTTGGCTGATTCTTAGAACTCACCTCCAAAATGGGGAACAAATCCTGTTGACAAATAGGATTATCCATGCAGCCTGTGGCTATAAACACTCATGTGGGTTACTTCACCATTCTCTTCTCTGGAGCAGTGACTAGAAATGCAGAAGTACATGAATACATACCTTATCATAGCCTTCTAGTTCTCGAAGTTTCTTTATTTCAAAAAGGTTGCCTTCCACAGCAAGCAGACAGATTTGGGAATCACTGAGGATGCTCTGTGGAAGCATGCTGAGCTCAAGGCAGTTCTCTTCCAGACGAAGAACTTTAAGGCGAGGACAGCAAGATATCTTTACCGAGATCTGAGATATCTATTGAACAACAAAAAAGAATAACAGGAAAAAGCATAAGCCTTGTAATGGTTATTTTTTACTAAATTAAAACAAAAATACCTTTCCTTGACTATTTGTCCTAGTTCTCCTTTTACCGCCTCCATTTTCTCACTACCTACTCACTCCAGAAGCCTCTGTCATCTAGCTTCTGTCACTACTTCCCCCACACTTTTGGGGAGGGGGTGAGGACTTGCATTTTGAACATCACCAGTGGCTTTTTGGAAATAAAATTTTCTGATAATAAAAGCACTATTTATTATAGAAAACTTGAGAATCAAATTCTAAAATTTAAAGAAAAGTTACCTGCAATCTGCCACCATAAACATTTTGGTACATTCACTGCCAATCTTTTATGTGTATATAAATGTTTGATTGTGCTACCTACCCGTTCCTTGAAACTCCTATTGTATCTAAGTACTGGGTTTTTCTTCCTGGCTTTTGAATTATTCCTGATTTTTGGCTCCCTTTCTTGTTCCTATGGACATTTTTCAAGCAGTAGTCCCTACTACTTAATATTTGATTGTCTTTCTAAACTTCCTCCTAGAAAGCTCATCCATTCTTTTTTTTTTTTAAATGTTTTTATTGATTTCAAAGAGAGGAAGGGAGAGGGAAGAGAGAGAGAGAAACATCAATGATGAGAGAGAATCATTGACTGGCTGCCTCCATGCCGCCCCTGCTGTGGATCAAGCCTGCAACCCCAGCACGTGCCCTGATCTGGAATCAAACCGCGATCTCCTGGATCATAGTTTGATGCTCAACTGCTGATACATGCCGGCTGGGCTCAAAATTTTTTTCAAAAAAGCTCAAGAATATTCACTTAAGGAAAAGAGGCTAATATCTTCAGAGACAGACTGAATTTCATAAATAATTTAGGATCACTACTATAGTTTTGTCCCAATAAAACATCTGCAATGATTAGAATGTTCTATATCTGTGCTGTCCAGTATGATAGCCACTTGTCACATATGGTTTTTGAGCACTTAAAATATGGCTTGTGACAACTGAGGAACTGAATTTTTAATTTAAATGAATTTTAATAACTACATGTCAGTAGTGGTTCCTGTATTGGGGCTATAGATCTAGAAGCACAGACACTGGAAAACTAAAGGCCACCTAGTCTCACTAAGTTTAATGTTTCATCATCTGTGCCTATGTCTAAATCAAAGATGGTCTCTCCAGTCATACATAATTACCAAAGAGTTTCTGAAGTAATGGAAACAAATTTCAAATATTACAATCAAAGGTCTCCAACAATGAAGTGAGCTATCTCCAGAAAGCCTATCACTGATGGTTTCTTAACAAAAGCAGGACACACATTTGACAAAGATGTCAAAAAAAGGACAACTGATTACCTTCAATGTCTAACTCTGAGAACCTATGAGTGTAAGCCTCTTTCCCACTCTGACATAGCTCCTTGCTAGATGACTAGAGACATCTGAGAAGGATCTGAAGAACTCTTCAAGATTTGTGAGGCAGTAGTTAAACTTTTGAAATTAGCACTCCATCACCTATCCCACCATCCAAAAAATACCTACACAACAAAACCAGTGTCAGCTAACTCCACAGGACTTTGGTCTTTGAAATTAGTTCCGCCCACAGGATACATCTCTCATCTAGCTTCTGGTGCCCAGCTCTATTATTACAGTTTAGAGAAAAACCAGTTATTCAGGAGACTAAACCCATATATATAGAAAAAAACCCTTAAGCTCTAGACCTGGTTCTGGTTGAGATTGAGTTCGATGACCTGCAGCTCTCCCACTATGTCAGGTACACTCCGAATCTGGTTCTTGGAGAGATCCACCACATCCAGCTGCCGTAGGTTACAAAGTTGGGGTGGTAGTGCTTGCAGACGGTTCCCAGAGAGGCTCAGTGTCTTGAGGGCAGACAGATGCCCAAAGGTAGAGGGCAGCTCTCTCAAGTGATTGTTGTTTAGGCTTAGTGTCTCTAGTTTTTTCAGATTGCATAACTCATCAGGAAGAACAGCTGGTAAAAACAAAAACGGTAGAAACCTGAATCTGATACAGCTGAAAAACACCTTTGATGAAGTTCATAAAAACTGTATGACAGCTCTCTATGCCTCTTGTTAATATACACAGAATTCCCACATGTTGTGCCATTTTAAAGTATTGTATTTTTTACCAACATAGTCTTCAGAAGGCGAGGGTGCCATCAAAATGCAGGAAAGCATTTATGTGTATCTTTTGTAAGGGAGCCTCCGCACAATCTGACAGCATTTTTGTGGGATTCAGCAGCCCCTCCCCTTCGATCCCCCCCGCCCTCACCCGTCCAAATGATCCCAGTACCAATCATTATACCACACAGGAGGCTTTAGATGTAATTACAAGAGACAGAAAACTTCAAGGACTCTGACATTCTCCTGCGTCTTGAGCAACCTGAACGGTTTCATAACAAAAATCAGCTTGTAAGAGAACACCACCCTTAACAGCTGATCAGTGGCAAAAGCTTCCCAGACGCAAAAGCCATACTCAGTTTGTTGTTGTTCAAGGAGAGGCTCTTCAGCAGAATGAACTTCCCTATAATCATAGGCGGCAGGCTCTCGATCTTGTTGTTGGATAAATCGATGGTCCTGAGATTGCTTGTCAGTTTCTGCAACTCTGAAGGAAACTGGAGAAAAGGATTCACAGCGCGGAGAATCCCTCACCGATTAACTTCACCGCCCCCGCCATCCCTCTCCCTTTAAATTCCCTGATCGGATCCCTTCGAGTCTCACCTCGGTCAGCCCACGGTCCTTAAGCTGAAAGACACCAGTTTTCTGCGCGGTTTCCACGTGAGCACGGAGGGCACTGTTTCCCATCCTAGCGCCGCGACTCGGGTCCCTACGGGAAGGAAGCGCAGCTGTCACGGCTCGGTCCAAGCACCCAGCCACCCCGACGGCCTCCCGGCTGTCTCCTGCCCCAGCCGTCACCTCCTGCAGATTTCTGAATCTTAGGGACCAGCCCAAGAGTGGCAAGGAAGAAAGGGAAGAACAGCCTGGCCACCAGGCCCTGCCGCTTTAGCAGCTGTTCCGAGGCTACACGCCTCTAGGGGCCTACGGGGATTCAGGGGGCCATGACTCGCCCCCTACCCCTCGGCTCACAGCTGGCCCCGAAGCGGAAGACCCGGGATGCGCGCAAGGCGGCGGAGCGCTTCCCGGGCTTCCGCCTGAGCCGAAACGGCTCGTGACGTCATCGAACCGCG